TAAATATAGGAAGGTCTAAATTATTGCGATAATGACTGGCTGAAAAAAATTGAGTTTTATCTGAATTAAAGTTCACCAGCCACTGTGAGCCCCATTCTGTAGCAGAAGTGAGATCCTTTTCGAGCTCAGATGCCCCCTGCAAGCAATCAGAGGGAGTTGGCTTCTTATCGTGACAAGAATAAATGGTAGTATCATCAGCGAACAATGCCACCTTAGATGTGATAATATCTGGAAGATCGTTAATGTAAATTAAAATGAGTATAGGGCCAAGGATTGAACCTTGGGGAACCCCTGAGGTTACAGAATAAGAAGAAGAGTGTTGTCCATCAAGGACAACTTATACTACGATTGTAAAGAAAGGATTCAATAATCTTAAAGATGTTTCCAGATACACCATAAGAAGAAAGCTTATGGAGAAGACCAGCATGCCAAACTTTATCAAACGCTTTAGAAATGTCAAGAGCGATGGCCTTAACCTCTCCACCTTTATCTAATGCGCGATAAAACCTTTCGATTATTACTGATAGCAAATCAGCCGTATAACAAGAAAATGAAAATCCATATTGATGATCAGAAAGTAGGTTATGAGATTCGAGATTAAGTGTTTGTTAATTAAAGATTCAAAAACCTTGCTTATGATAGCAACGGTAGTTAGGCAAATCAGATCGCTTTCCAGAATTTTTAAAAATAGGGATAACAGATGCTGCTTTCCAGCAGGCTGGAAAACAAGACTCTGATAAGCACTTGTTAATTAGTTTTGAAAGGATAGACGACAGCTCCGGAGAACACTTCTGCAAGACTATAACAGGTATGTTGTCCGGGCCGCAAGCTGTAGAAGAGTCTAATCAGGAAATCACTTTAGATGCAGAAGCTGTAGTGATACGGATATCGAGCAGTGGATCAACCTGTTTGACGGCTATATCAAGTAGAACGCAACTAGTGGAATCAAGAGATGATATTGATGAAAAGTTCTTGGCAAACAATTCAGCTTTGTCTTTAGGTGAGGTGACAAAGTCTGAACCATACAAAAGAGGTGGAATTACAGACTTGCCCTTAATATTGATACTATTAAAGATTCTCCAGAAGTCACGAGAGCCTAATTTTTGTGATGAAATACGAGATTTCATGATCTGAGAATAGCGAGCTTTGGCGTTAGACAAAACCTTTTTACAATGGTTCCTAGCAGTAATAAACAGACGTCTGTTTTCTGGAGAATTGTTTTGCTGATAGATATGGAAGTAATGGTTTCTATTAGCGATTGCAGCAGCACAATGTGAGGAAAACCATGGAGAAGAGTGAGGCTTGACCTGGAATCGTAGAGTGGGAATAAAGGATTCCATGCCAGCCTGAATCCACGAATTTATGTAAGAAGCACATTTGCCAACAGGGAGACGAAAGAAATCTACCCAGGGGCCATCATGAAGAAAGTCACGGAAAGAGTCCCAGTCAGCTTTAAGGTAGTTGTAAGATGTACAATGATAGGGGGATTCTGATGGTAAAGAAGAATGAGATATTAGTTTTAGAGAGACCAAACCATGATCAGACACACTTAAGGGTGAGTGTAAAGAAACTGAGCACTGACTAGGATCAGAAACAAGACATAAGTTGAGTAGAGAAGGTAAAATGATTCGGGTTGTCTGGAAAACGAGTTGGAAAGTTGACTATTTGAGTTAGGGATTAAGAAAGGCAAAAGTTGTGGTCCTTAATGCCTGCAGAGTCACTGACACTGAGCCAAGCCATTCAGTGTGATGAACATTAAAGTCACCGACAACAACAATATTGGCTGATGAATAAAGAATGAGGGCTTGGTCAATATAATCAGAAATAACATCAAGAAGAGTGCAGTCTTGAGATGAGGGAGAGCGATATAGAACAAAGAGAAAGGTGATAGAGTGAAGTGGTGCTAAACGAAAGCACATAAAAGAGTAGTCTGTGGATTTAAACCTAGTTTTCTGACAAATGGGTGTATTCTTTTGAATGTAAATGCCTAGGCCAAGCATGTGACTATTAGAGTCTTTACGAATTAAAGGAAGATAACCATCAACACTAAGATCTTAAGATGAGACAGCTGAACTCAAATTAGTCTCACAAAGAGCAAGTAGATCTGGAGAACTTTGCAAGAGATAAGACTCATTAGAAGAAAAGTTACTTCGAAGACCACAAATATTAGTGAATGATAGGTTTAGGGAACTTGGTGATGACAGTGATTTTTTGTGTTATATAGTTTTTGTTACTTTATTCATTTTTAAATTTGTTAAAGAACTTGACTTGAAACATAGATAGGACTCAGTGCACTGTTTAATAGCCTAAGCAATTGCCTCATTACTATTAAAAAACCCTAAGCCGTAACAAAGGGCTCCTATGTTGCCTTGGTAATGCATACCTAAAGTACAAACAGGGACACCATCCATGAGCAACATGGCACTGTTAATATTTTGATATTTTTTAGCTTTTGATGGACTTAATCTTTCTGAGAGCTACCGCAGTGTTTAGGAAACCTGACTACCAGCCGGCCTCAGAACCATAAAACTGAGTTTTAGAGCTGTACCCTCATTAGGAGATAATAGAATGAGTTGCCTTGTCATACAAACAGAGACACAACCAAAACCCATGCATCGAGTCAAGAAGATCCAGTATTCAACATACTGGAACCTGGAAACAATGTATTAAAAATACATCTGTGCCAGCCTAATAGATGAAGAAGGGGTGAGATGCTGGTCAACAGATAGAATCTGTTTACCCTTTAAGTAAGGCCTTAGGAGGCCTTCTACAAGACAGCAGCCGGATACATTTAACATCTGCCTAAGATGAGTATTTTTATTCAGATACCATCTGTAGCCTATAGTCAACCAAGAGCCACGGTGTTTTATGTCGGAGTTGGCATCTCCTAGCTTTTGCCTTAAAAGACGTATCCTACAAGGCAGCAGGACATGAGGCAGATTGTACTGGGTTACATGTTACCAGTAGCAGGATAACCTGACCTGACAATAGGTATCTCATTTGAATTAATATTTTCAATGGCTTCAGCTTGTATGATCATGTCTACTAGTTGTCTGTTCATTGAAAGAAGTTGCAAATTTATTGATGGGATGAGAAACTAATTTAGATAGTTCATCAAAATTTTTTTGAAGCCTTTCAGACTCATTACAAAAAAATGTTTGAGATTTTTGCTTCACTTGATTATTACCTGTATCAACAGCTAAAGATATTTTTGTGTAGTTTTTTTCTTAAGATCTCAGAAGAATGATTGTAAATTATGAACATGCATGCAAAGGATTACATTGTCATAATGCATACACCTATTAAATGCTTTCACAAACCATTACAGTCTGGATTTACACGATTTCAAATACAAACTTTCCTTACAAGCGTCAGTTAGAATGTCAGCGTTGTATGTTACATCTTTTGATTGACTTTTAACTGTGTATTGAGTTAAACATTTACTAATACATTTATATGAAATTAACATTCCTTTTTTGTCTTTTTTTATACTTTTTTGGGAGAGACATTGTTCCAAGATAAATAATGTCTCTTTTGTGGTGCCAATAACTATCTTCTTCGATTGTTAAAAGTGAATTAGTTAAATCTTGTAACCTTTTTCTTAGATCGTCTTTCCATATAAACTGTTTTCAATTTGTTATGAAATGATTCACATAACATATTAGTATCAGTGTCTGCATGTTAAAAGTTACGATAACAAGAAGCCCATTTTGTCGAGGAGTATAGTATGCTTTTTCAAAAACATGTCCATACATTTAGTTTCTTTTGTTCTTTTTCTATTTATTGTTATTTTGTTAATCATGATTTTTATGTCATGTCCCAACCAAAATACCTTTTTAAATTCTATTAAAAAGGTCTCTCTATCCTTGATTGCTATTGGTGTCAATCTGTTTTTAAGAAGTTGCAGCTTTTTATATTTCTTTAGTATAGTTTCAACTTCTTTCCTAAAATTAATATTAATTAGACTTTCCTAAAATTAATATTAATTAGAACGTAAAATGCATTGTATGTTACATGTTCTGTGTCCTCTAAGTTTCCAGGGAGCCTTCAGCTTAGGTATATTGCAGCAGTTCTTTTTCTTTTTTTTATGGACAATTTGGTGTAAATATAGCACCTTAATTTGAACAGCAAACTAAGTTTTTTAATAGAAACAGGTGGTTTGAACTCTCGTAGGTAAATATAATATACAATGGTTTCTTCAACAGTTAATAACTGAATAGATGATAGTGTCTTTCTAGTTTTTTTTAACTAAGAATGTTTCTTTGCCTCTAATTCTTATTTTACTAAGAATTTTTATTTTACTTTTTATTTCATTTAAATGAACTATAATAACATAAATTAAAGTTTTTTTTAATGCTAAAAACCAACTTCATTGAGTATCATGCAAAAACCATTTTACCCATGTTTAAGCCTTGTTAAATCTAATTAAAACAGTACAAGTTGAAAATAAACATGGTAAATACATTAATACAAAGAAATCACACTGCTGTCATAGAAACAGTTTTGTGTACATAAATAATAAAAAACTTCATTAAATAAAAAATAAAAAAATTTTTTGAGTCTTTTAATGACTTTTTTAAATTTAAAAAAATATTTAAAAAAGTGTCAAATTTTTTTTATATATATAAGTCATTGTGAGCATAAATATAGAAAAAAATTCAATTTAATAATGTTGAAGGGTGGCACACATAGGGCAAAAATGTCAAAAGGGTTGTTTGTTTTTTTTGTTTTTTTTTTTAAAAAAAAAAAGTCATTTTGGTTCGTGTGCCACCCATAAATTTTTTTTTAATTCAAAAAAAAATCTCACATATAAAACAACGGTCTGCTCGCCTTATAAGTTTCCATTCTAGTTTTAAAAAAAATTCTCCCATTAATCTGAACCACCCTAATATTTATACACACACACATACATAACTACATAAATACATATAACTACATAAATACTTATAAAAATGTTGTTTACTAGTGTATATTTGTGTTTTTTGGTTTTCTTAAACTAGATTTAAAATAACAATTCCTGGTTTTGGTGATGTCAAAGTAAACATAGAAATGATATGCGATTGTCCATGCGAACGAGACGCTGGAATTCCTAATGCAGATATTTGTAATAAAAATGGAACATCTAAGTGTGGTATATGTTATTGTAATCCAGGAAGATATGGTGTAAATTGCGATTGTGATAATAAAGCACAGGCTGACACATCTCTCTGTAAAATTGCCAATTCTACAGATGACCGTGTCTGCAGTGGTTTTGGAATTTGTGTGTGTGGCCAGTGTGAATGCATCAAACGATCAGTATAGTTATTTTTTACTTTTTTATTTAATAAAGTTTAATAATTTTATAAATTATAGTTTTTTCCAAGCTAAGGAAACTAGCATAAAAATTTGTATACTAGTTTCCTTAGACGCAAACCTTGTAACAAGGCTGCTGTGCGCAACAACAAATTAAACATAATACTTCCAGAGGTGTAGAGTGAATTTGAACCCAGAACCTCTTGACTGTTAGCCAAATTTTTTACCACTAGTCTACTAGCGCATTGAATTTCTAAATTTTACTTAACTCAAACGTAAAAAGTAATACATTTATTTGATCACTTTTTGGTTAAGTATGCAATCATTTACATTTACAAGATTGAGGGTTTCTGTTAGTTATAATGATACTATAAATATAAATAATTTATTAAAGCAAAAAAATTATTTTAAAATTAACAAATTGTAGCCATTTTTCATTTTGCTTTTAATTTATATTTTTGAGTAAAGAAAATAAGTAAATTTAGTTTTTTATTTGGTCAGAATTTAAAGAATTTGAATATTTTCAAGATCAATATTTCTAATATGTTTTTCATATTTAAAAATCATTTCTTCATTTTTAAAACTGTTTTTAAATAATATTATAATAAAATTCTTTTTTTTTTAATTCTAACTCACTCCCAAAAAGGACTGCAAGCAACCGCTATTAAGTTAGGAGTTACTAGAAAACAAAGAGTTAATGAGCAAGGAAACAGTTGACAGAACACTTGAAAAATTGTAGGTTGTATGAGTTGGGGAAACATGAAGATATGAGAGAGTTCCAAAGGGATAAGGTGCAGAGAAAGCAAAATTAAAGAATAAGAGTTTTCAAAGCATGCAAAATACAGTAAAAGGATGAGACTTTACTGAAACTAGTTTTTTGTAGTTTGACTTGATCAGACCTTATTTTTTTTATATAGTAGATTTTTTGTTAAAATATATTGAGATTGTTACTGCTTCTTTATTAATGTTTCTTTGTTTTATAATATGGTAAATGTTGATTTGGGTAAAATGTGGTTTTAAGACCATGACTCCACTTTCCATATGGAGGTTGCAATCATTAACTTACTGAAAACAAAAATTGATGATATATTGTTTTTGAGAAATGAACCTGACCATTTGTTTCCAATTCTGTATCATTTGACACCTCAATTATTTCCTTTAAAGCTATGTATGTTGTCTAGATAAACTAGCATCAGTTAACTTCTTGCAGTCCAACATTGTTTAATTTTTGAAATAAGGCCAACAGTGCTTGTGGCCATATTTGAATGTGCATAATGATTTTGTAAGCAAAACCAAGTCAGTTTACTTTCAGGGACATGTTAGTTAATGTGTTAATGCTATTTATTGATCTTTTACTAGGCTCCAGACGAGCGAATTTATGGAAAGTACTGTCAATGTAATAACTTTGGATGTGATCGATATCAAGGCAAAATATGTGGAGGTATTTATTATTTGTTTAAACTTTTTACTATTTTTATTAATATTATTTAAATTTTAACTTTTTAGTACTTTTTTGATTAGGACCTGAAAGAGGGGTTTGTGACTGTCAAGAATGCAAATGTAAGGAAGCCTTTCAAGGAGCTAACTGTGGTGCAATTAATTGTACTATTGGTGCAATAAACTGTAGGAAAGATAATGTATGTTGGCCTAATAATTCAAAATATTGTTCTATCTTTTTAGTTATTAAAATATGTTAAATTTTAATTTTTGTAGCAAGTCTGCAGTAACAATGGTGTGTGTGCATGTGACACTTGTGTTTGCTCTTTTGGTTACAAAGGAAAATATTGTGAAAATTGTGTGGTAAGTAGGTCAAAAATCTGTAATCAAACTATAGCTTTTTACTAATAAAACTTTTTCACTTCATTTACAAAACTTTTTAAAGTTTTGTAAATGAAGTAAAAAAGGTAGTCAAAATATGAGTTTACTCTGACTTGCCTATTTTTTAAATTTTAAATGTTTAGTCTTGTCCTGGTAAATGTGCTAATGTCAAAGACTGTGTTTTCTGTCAAGCCTTTAAAAAAGGAAAGGATGAGGTGTGCTCAAAGTGCAATCTGAATATTCGCATAGTTAACAAAACTGAAGAAAAGTGCTCCTACTTAGATGATGATAACTGTTATGTCATTTTCAGTTTTGAAGACAATGAGTTTGCAGGAACATCAAATGAAACAATTTTAGTTCAGAAAGAAAGAAGTATGTTTTTTTTTCTTTTCATTTTTTGTATCTAAAAGTTTTAATGGTTACAAATTACCTACGATTACTTGATTTTATAATGAGTTGTATTGGCTGGTAATATTTCTTTTTTGATACACACTTTTTTGATACAAATAAGATTATATAATTAATAGTTATATATACTTATCTATTTTAACTTTTCCAATCACTAAGATATAGTTTCTTTGTTTCATTTGTGAAACTGTTGCTCAAAAGTACTTTAAATTGAATGTTATTTTAAATGATTATTTTCAGTCATTTTTTCACAAATAAATGATGCCACTTTAACCGATTTTATGAAAAAAAATTTAAAGTATAGCTATAACTCGTCTGCATTTTTTTTTTTAATGAAATATATTTAAATATAATAATAATAATGTTTTATTTTTTCAGAGTGTATTGTTATCGTCCCCACAGACCCTCCTATCTTGGCAATTGTGCTTGGCACCATAGGTGGTATTGTTCTTCTTGGGTTAATTCTATTGTTGTTGTGGAAACTTCTAATAACTGCTTATGTAAGTGTCCTTATTTTTTCGCGTTCGTATTTTTTGTAATTTGCAATTTGCGCGTAAGCGTCATTTTCATTGCTTTTATTGTTTACGTTTGTATTGTATTTTTAGGATAATTATGAATACCAAAGATTTGAGAGAGAACGCATGAAGTCTCAATGGGAAAATGTGAGTCAAAAGATCTTTTCATTTTAAGTCATTCTTTTTTCTTTTTTTTAATTGTTAATTCACCTCCTCAAGGCCGAGAAGGCCACTACAGATGAGGAGGCTACTTATTTGTGGTTATAACCCTCTTTCAACTCTATAACTCTGAAACACGAACCTTGATGATCAATGCCGCTGCGCAGAGAAACGGGTTGAGCGCGGTACTACCAGGGACGTGGTGGGGATTGAACTCGGAACCTCTTGCTTATGAAGCGAGCACTCTACCACTACACCACTACCGCTTCACTACATTCAGTCAAATAGCATACTTAACTCTGTTAACCGTTCATTTATTATGTTAGCACTAAGTTATAAAATGCCGTTATCTGTCATTTTACAGTCCGTCAAAACAAAATTTTTAATCATTATTTATATATGCATTTTATTACAAATGGTTCTATTTAAAACATTGAGATTTGTGTCTCCCTTTATTTTTTTTCAAGGCTAGTAAAGGATAAAGAAAGATTAAGTTAACACTAAATACACTCTAAGAAAAAATCCGTTTTATACAACGAACTGCATCTGTCGCTATTGCACCAACGGATTTTCCGTTATGTTAACGGATTAAAATTTAACGGATTGAAGTTCGTCGATATTAGTCCGTTGAAATTACATTTTTTTTCCGTTCATACAACAAACAATTCGTTAAAATAATGGAATCATTACACTAAGCGGCTTTAGCTGTTTTTGGTAAAAAAAACAAATTTACTTTGTCATCATATTAAATAATTTATTATTCCCTTTATTAAGATTAGAAAAGAATTAAGCCAGATAGAACTGACATTTCATACAAAATAGTCCTTATTTTTAATATATAGTTTATTTTATTATGTTATTCAACATCTGATTCAAGCAGTACTACTTATACAAACTAACTTGATCTGGAGAGATTTTTTAGCAAGCTTTAAAAACGTTTTAACTTTTAAATTGCAAACTAATTAAATATTTATAATAATTTTATTCAGTATAGAAGCTTTCAATAACAATAAAAATTATAAAATTTGAATAAAAGTATTAAATATTTTTTAATATATGTTTTATTTTATTCAAGGTCAAAAAATATTAGTATGAAAAATACAGACATGAATACAATTTTTATCATACCAGGTTTCAATTTTTAATACTTTTGTAAATTCATGTTTGTGCACATTTCAATTCCAGCAACCTGTTATCAATTATTAAAAGATAAACAAACCTTAAAACACAATAAAGAAAATACTGAATATAAATGATATACCATAATATAAAATGGAAATAAATTTTTACTGATAACCCTGTAAGAAACATTTGTTGCTAATTCTTTATTTCTAAATTGTTAATAAAAGTTATGTTATTTTATTAGTTCTACATTTCAATGTGTTAAACAAAAATTAAACGTACCTACTATGGGAAAAATTCTAAAATTTTTACACACATCAATAGTTGTAAAATTTTTGCACAAATCAAGAATAATAAAAAAAAGTCACCTTTTTATTTAATAATAATAAACATGTTAAAAGTTTTAATATTAGAATTTAAATTTAATACCTCATGTCTAAATGCCACAAATATAAAGTAGCAAGTTCTACATAAATATAAACAAGCAATATATAAACTTAGTTGTAACATAAATAAATTGCAAGTAAAATAAATAAATAGATTTACAACTAATTTGAAATTACAATGTAATAAACCATGACACGTCTAAAATAGTAAATATAAAACTTAAATATACAAGTTCTAACAATCCATATTTAAACTTTGTTGTAACTAGCCTAAATAAATACCCATTAAAAAAATGCAATTAAACATTCACAACTGATGAAACTTAAAGTGCGATATTGCATGCTACATGCGTAAAATAGTCAATTATAAAAGCATATAAACAAGTTATATGTAAACTTAGCAGCAACTAGCTTAAATAAATATACAGGTTAAAATAAATGCAAATAAATATTTAAATTTGATACCTCATGTTTAAATGCCACATGTCTAAAGTAGCAAGTTCTATACAAATATAAAAAACCAATATATAAACTTAGTTATTATTAACATAAAAAATTGCAAGTAAAAAAAAAATAGTTTTACAATTAACTTAAACTTACAGTTTCATATAGCATGACATGTGTCTAAAATAGCAAATTATAAAAACTTAAATATACAAATTATAACAACCCATATATAAATTTTGCTGTAACTAGCCTAAATAAATACCCATATAAAAAATGCAAGTAAACATTTACAACTGATTTATTTTATAACTGATGAAACTTACAGTGTGATATTGTATGCCAGGTGTCTAAAATTGCAAATTATAAAAGCATATAAACTCTATGTAAACATAGCTGCAACTAACCTAAATAATAATACTCATCAAATGAAATGTTAACATTTTTACAACATGTCTCATCTAAAGTTACAACATGTCACATCTAAAAAATATATTCAAATGCTTCATATAGAAAATTTAAAATAAGTTTAACAACCTTCGAAATTACAAATAACAGTGTGTAATTTAAACTGTTTATTCATTTGCTTTCTCTACTAAAATTTATAGCAAAAAAACAAATCGATAAACACAATTTCAATTACGCTTTTTTTAAATAGCTTCACATTTAGTCGAAAATTTCGGCCGAATGTTAAGCTATTTAATTTCACATTTCGACGAAATGTGAAGCTATTTAAAAAATGGCAAATTAAACATACTGCAATAAACCTTTTATCTACGATTTAAATGTCGTTTAAGAAAAAATCCTTTTAAAAATTTATCATTTATAAATAAAGATTTATAACATATTGACAAATCTAAATCAAACAAACAAGATTTTAAAATATAATCTACAGAGGAAGCAGTTCATATTTCTTATGGAAACCATTTTTAATAAAAAGTTCAGTTGTTTTTCAACGGATTTGAATATTTAGTCCGTTGAATTAACGAAATTTTGAAGAATCCATTAATAGTTAATTTTATTCCGTTAATTTTGTGATTTTCGGTTACGAATTACTTCATTAATTTAACGGAATAAATCAATCCGTTGCTTTTTCTAACGGAGTGTAGTTATTTATAAATTTATCTGCAAAAGATCGAATTTAAAGTTACGTTAACTTTTTACTATTTTAGTAGAGATTTCACTCGTGTATCTAATTTAACTGCATAATATAAATATGTGCTAACACTAATAGATGACGCATAACATAATATCAAAAGTTTTTATAAAAAAAAAAAAGATGGGGCGGCAACTAGATGTCGCTTTTCAATTCATATCCTTACTTTGTACTCTCTGACAACCCCTCGTGTGTAGGCCAATTGATAGTATTTACAAATATTTAATGAATAGAATGTATTTGATTGCAGTTAATTTTTTTTCTCATTATCTCAGGCTGAAAATCCGATTTACAAACCATCAAAACAACAGTTCCAAAATCCAACGTATGCTGGAAACAATTAACTTTCGCTGATTAGTTGCTTAGCAAATGGTTCAAAAAAAAGTATTTTAGGCAATAAAGATATTTTTGTATGTCTTGTTTGTCTGGAAAAGAAGCGTTCGTGAAAGCTTTGATGCAGTTAAAATAAGTTTTGACGAGATTGACTAGGTCGGCGTGAACAATTTTTTATAATATGCAAATAAATTTCTTTTTGCGTTAATTTTCCAACCCTCATAAATGTTTTTAAAAGAATTATGGATACTTTTTTTATATATGATTTATTTTACAAAAAAGATAAAAATAAAATTTGAATTTTTTTCCCCCCATTTTTGTATTTTGTTATAAATATTTTTATTGTACAAATTTTCTGTTTTTTTTTTTTTTTTGATTTGTTTTTTGTTTTTTTGTCTTATGAAAATAATTTCAAATTTTGATTTTTTTGATTTTGTGCTTAGTTTTTGATTCAGTAACGGATTCGCTTTTAAATTAAAAAAAAAGTTTCAATAAAAAAATCGACTGAATATTGGTTTTTATTTTAACTATTTGGAAATAATTGTAATAATGCGTCTCCGTAGAAAATATTGTATACCGTAAAACCGAAACAAAACATTCCTGCTATAAATTAGGTAGAATATTTTTACTTTTTTAGAAATTTTCAGACTGCTATAGTTAATCTTAGTAATTATTTTTACCACTCTTCCGTTTTTCTATGGAAACGGAAAATAATCACATGAACATGCGCAGTTTTCCTTTTTGATTGGAGGGGGTGAGAGAGATTTCGAAATATTTTGTACAACATTTTTATTACATAATTGTAACAAATAAATAAACATAAAAACATCACTGATATAAAAAAAAAAAAATTCATCTGTGATGACTAATTTAACACCAGCTCAATTAAAGCAAGTCGAGGACGCAATTAAAAAACTTATTCATGCTGAAACTGCGAAATGGTCGGCCAAAATATCTGAACTAGAACAAGTAATAAAGCAACAACAATTAATAATAGATAAGCTAATCCAAAATCCTAATGAGCTAACTAATACCACAACCAGTAGTATCGAATCCAGCTGGGTTACAGTTGCAAGCAAAAGCATAAAAAAAAAGCAGCCTATTGAACAACTAAAAATTATCAACACATTTGCCATTGAGCAACAGCAAAAAAAGAAGCGTGAAAAAAATGTTATTATTTATGGCATTAAAGAATCTGCAAAGTTATCAGTTGCTGATAAGCATATCGACGATAAGGAAACGGTTCAGAATATCTTAGTTACTATTTCATCTGATGCAAAACCAAAATCTGTCAAACGTATTAAATCTACGTCCTCTAAACCAGGACCAATTATCGTCGAACTTTCTGATGTCTCCGAAAGAAACCCATTATTAACAGCAGCAAAAAAATTGAAAAATTCAGATAATTATAAAAATATTTTTATAAGCCCAGATTTGACTGAGGCTGAAAGATATTTAAACTATCAGTTAAGAATGAAGCGTAATGAATTAAATAGTAATATCAATTTAAAAACATCGCCCTTTAGATACGGTATACGAAGCAGCGGAGTCGTCAAACTCAAAAATATACAAACCACTACATAAACATTACTACCCTTCTTCCACTCTTTTACCAGCAAACTTAAAATACAAAAGTAAAAATCTTCATAACAAAAAAACAAACTATAGCGTTAATTGTTATTATACAAATGCTACATCTCTCGATAATAAAATGGCCGATTTAATTTCAATATCTAGAACGTTTGATTATCACGTTATTGCTATCTCTGAAACATGGTTTCGAAATGACTCAGTACCTAATATCGATGGGTATAGCCTATATCGTTAAGATCGTCAAGACGGACGTCGAGGTGGCGGTGTAGCTATCTACATTACAGACGTATTTAACTCTCATGAAGTTAACCAATTTTATACAAATCTTCTCGAACAAGTCTGGGTATCTGTAAAATTTAACAACAAACATATACTTATCGGTTGTATATACAGACCAAATGATGCCAGTTTAATAAAATATGTCGCTGAATCCTTCAAATTAGCTCATAGTTTAATTAAAAAGCCCTATGATGACTGTTTGATTGTCGGTGACTTTAACTTCCCGAATATAAAGTGGTCTAACGATGGTATTGAATCTTTTAACCCAAACAATCCTACCGAGTATGATTTCTGGAATATTTTCCAAAATAGCCTTTTTACTCAACATATCACATTTTCTACTTTCCAGACTGATTATGGTTCCTCAAATAATATGTTGGACTTGTTATTTACCTACAACAGTAATTCTATTTTAAACTTGTCTCCTAGTACTATACTAGGTAACACCACTAAGGGTCATTTTAGTATCACTTGGAGATTCTTAGTTTCAGAACTGTTTACCGAAAGTGAATCTCAATCGTTTAATTACAAAAAAGGTGATTACGTTTCAATATCTAACTTTATTGCATCAATCGACTGGGAGTTTTTATTCCTGCATAAAACTGCAGATCAAATGTTCAATATACTAATTTCTAACTATCGCACTGCTTGCACATATTTTATTCCCAAGATTAATAAAACAAAAAAAAAGTATGATCCTTGTGTTACCCCACATATTAAAAACCTGATCCGAGAAAAAAAATCCGCTTGGCATATAAACTGCTCTACCAAATGGGAGAATAGTGAGCTTAAAATAAAATACAATCGCCTTAATCGTTCAGTAAAAACTGAAATATTTAAAGCAAAAAAAGCACATGAAAAAGAAATAATATCAAATTCCCAAAACAACCCAAAAATTGTTTACAAATATATCAACAAACAACTAAAAATTAAAGATAGAATTCGCTCTCTCAAAGATACTTCAGGCAGAATTATTGAAGCTCTTCCTGATATTGTTGATCTTCTGAACTCTCAATTTAAATCTATGTTTACACTTGAAAGCTCTGAAAATTTTCCTTTGCTAAATAAAAGTGGTATTCTTTCTGAATGCATTTATAATGAAAACTTGGATTTCTCTATCTCAGATATTATTCAGGAACTTGCCGATCTAAAGCCTTATAAATCCTTCGGATCTGACGGCTTGCATCCCTTAATACTCAAGATATGTGCCAAAAGCTTTGCAATTTCATTAACAAAAATCTTTCATAAATCCTTTAATTCTGGAGTAGTACCCACTCAATGGAAATTAGCAAATATTAGTCCGATCTATAAAAAAAAGGAGATAAATTACTTGCTGAAAACTATAGACCTATTTCATTAACATCTGTTGCCTGTAAAATCTTTGAAAAACTTGTAAAGAAAAAAATTTTAAAGCACATTAACGATAATAAAATGCTCTCTGCAAATCAACATGGCTTCCTTCATCATAAATCATGCGTAACTAACCTAATAGAAACTTTTGATATCATTTCGTCCTCCATAGCATCTCACCAATTTATTGATGTAATCTATCTTGACTTTGCCAAAGCGTTTGACTCTGTACCTCACAACAGACTTTTGTTAAAATTAAGATCTTTCGGAATAAACGGCAAACTCCTACAATGGATTAAATCTTTTTTAGTGGGCAGAAAGCAACGCGTTACAATTAACAATACCAGCTCTGCATGGGTTGATGTTCTCAGTGGTGTTCCTCAAGGTTCTGTTCTCGGCCCGCTCCTCTTCATTCTCTACACAAATGATCTCGCAAAACTCACTGAAACTTCTGAGATATTTGCCGATGATACTAAACTTTTTTCTAAAACCTTATCGCAATCTAATTTTGTTGATCTGCAGGATCGTCTACGCTTGGTATACGAGTGGTCAAACACTTGGTTACTTAAGCTAAACACTTCAAAATGCTGCGTCATTCATTACGGTCGAAACAACCCCCATTACAATTACTTTCTTCAAAATAACCAAGGAATCAACCAATCTCTAAGAAGCTCTACTAAAGAACGTGATTTAGGAGTCATTTTTACATCTAACCTCAAGTGGAGCGCTCATATTCAAACAGTTGTCTCTAAGTCCTTACAAATTCTCGGTATGCTGAAAAAGACATTCACTTTCATTGATGAAAAAATGGCTCTCAAATTATATAAAGTATTTATAAGACCACATCTTGAATATGGAGTGTCCATTTGGGCTCCTTTTTTAAAAGCTGATATGGCTTTGGTTGAATCTGTTCAACGCAAAGCTACAAAATGGGCTTACAGCTTGAGGCATCTTCAATACTGCGAAAGGCTAAAAAGATTAAACCTACCATCACTTGAGTTTCGACGCCTTCGATGCGATTTAATCCAAATTTTTAAATTAATACATCGTTTTGATATAGTTAATGATAAATATCTACCAAAATATATTAACTCCGTGTCTCGTGGTCACCATTCTAAAATAAGGCGTGAGTATGTTCTAAACTGTCTTCCAAGATATAATCATTTGTATAATAGATCAGCAAAATACTGGAACAATCTACCAGAGCAAATACCTTTGTACTCCACTGTACTTTCTTTCAAAAATAGACTAGACTCCTGGTTGTGGAAAAAGTTTGGAACAAATATTTATAAAACTGGTTGTTTATAGTGGGGTGTTTCCCCTGCTCGCTGTATGTGTACATTCTATGTAAATTTACGGCTACAACTATAATAATAATAATTTGCGTCTCAAAAAAAAAAAGGTCTTCAATTTCTAAGATATTTTAGGACTTTCAATTTATGCTTTGTCCTCTTGGTCTATTAGTTAGCTAAATAATATGGATTTGAGTTTTTTTGTTTTTGCTGTGGTCACGATGATTTTTTTGTTATTGCTGTGGTTTCACGCCTTAACATTTTAAATGGCTTGATTGATAACTAATAATGTTGAAACAATTTTTTAAGATGAATGTAAAACTGTAAGTGCTTAAGGTGATCAAGCCTAATTCAAATGAATTTTTTTATTAATGAATTTTTATTATTCAAAGCTACTTATGTTATAACGAGCCTTAAAAAAATTGTTATCATTTATTTATTCATTGATCAATACTTCATGCCTCATTTATTTTAACTTCGTACCTTTTTGATTCTGAGCCAAAACTTTAGCCACGGCCTCTAATATGTTAAGTTATCACCATAGTCATAATATAAGATAGTCTGGCCAGTTAAGCCGTTTTCGCAAGATTCTATTGTTTTTAATCAATAAAAGTTAAAACTTAATTTATGTTGAAAATCGTTTATTTATCGTGCCCAGACTACCAATAAGTGCACAAAAATCTAAAAAATGGCGAACGCAACAGATAAACAGTGTATCGATTATTTCATATTAGATCTATAATCAGATATATTATTTTGTAAACTCAAGTTTATCAATAATTTCAGTTCTTTTTTCGTTAAAATTGGAAGTAAAAACGCTTAAACCAAATTCATTTTTCGGAGCATAAATTCAAACGCTACGTACCAAAGCAGCATTCAAATAGTTTCTCTTTCTCAAGCTAACGTGTTCTTTAAATAAGTTCATGAATTTTTTTTTAAAATTACATTCTTATTGTTGCAAACAATCTTTGCTGCCTTCCATATATCAGAGATGAGCTTTCAAAGTACATATTTTTAAAAGATGATACGAAGCCATTATTCAAGTTAATAAAAAGAAGTTATAAAAATTATTTTTAGTGAAATTGAAGTTTTTTATCCA